TGTTCCTTGATAAATTAGCTACAACTTTTGTAAAGAGTGCACAGCCATGCAAAGCTTCTAAGTTGGACTTTTGAATCAGTCAAACGAGGACACTCCATGGGTCAAATTAAGTCAAACTTGCACTTGAGGGCATTTTGGTCATTTTGGTCTACATGAACAATGTTCCAACAAGTAAACTAAGTATAGTTAAGGTGTATTAGACCATGATCAACCATTTTACAAAGTTGTTATACCACTTCTACTGATCACATGTGATAAAGAAAGTAAAACAAGCAATTCATACATATGTTTCAATACAAGGTTTCACATGTTGCATGACCTTGTTGTTATACTATACTTGTCACATTACTACCATGTTGCCATGCTTCAAGACATGGGAAATTCATGTTGCATTCATATGTTGCACTACTACCATTCACAAGCAATCCAGTATGAAACAAACAGAATATGCGAATGTTTCATATGTATGTTTCAGGGAAAATGACATGATGAGATAGATGATGCACATGTTTATGAGACGAAATGCAATTAGTAGAAGCCAAACACCGAGGGTGTTACATTCTATATATCATCAAAGAGTTTTATATCAAATTCTTTATTTATATATAGTTTCTACGGGGTCAATCTGATGGAGGAGGAATTATACCTAGTGGACAATGGTACCACTAATTCTATACTTAGAGAAACAAAGTATTTCCAAACTCTTACAAAAAGACAAGGAAATGTTTTGACAATCGCCGAGCGTGATGCTACAATAGTTGGCTCTGGTCGTGCCACTATTGTACTCCCCATGGGTACCCAAATTACAATTGAGGATGCATTATTGTATCCCGATTCAAAGCGCACCTTATTAAGTTATAGAGATATCCGTTAAAATGGTTTTCATATTGAAACCCGTGATGACAATAATGAGGAAATACTCCTCGTTACTAAAACTAGCGGATATGGCAAACGAATTGTTGAGAAAATTCCCTTTTTTCCGTTCGGATTGTACTACACATACATCAAACCCGTACCGCATGTTGAGTACAAGGTAATTTTTTAGAATGTTGACGCATTCAAAATTTGGCGTGAACGCCTTAGCCATCCTGGTATAGGGATGATGCGAAAAATTATCAGCAATTCTAAAGGTCATGAGTTAAATACTGCTAAATTCCCAAAATCTTCAGATTTTATGTGCACTTCATGCGCTACAAGGAAATTGATCGTACGACCATCGCCCGTTAAGATCCAAAATGAGCCACTAAAATTTCTTGAACGCATTCAAGGAGATATTTATGGCCCCATACAACCAACGTCTGGACCGTTCAGGTACTTTATGGTTCTAATAGATGCATCTACTAGATGGTCTCATGTGTGTCTTTTGTCCACATGTAACCATGCATTTGCAAAAAGTATTGCTCAAGTTATTAGACTTAGAGCACATCATCCTGAACATCAAATTCAATCAATTCGAATGGACAATGCTGCTGAATTTTTCTCAAAGGCTTTCAACGATTATTGTATGGCTTTGGGAGTTCAAGTTCACCACTCTGTCCCATATGTCCATACACAAAATAGTTTAGCAGAATCTCTTATTAAGAGAATTAAACTCATTGCAAGACCGTTATTACAAAATTGCAACCTACCAACTTTATGTTGGAGTCATGCAGTCTTACACGCTGTTGACTTAATTCAATTGCGACGAACTGCATATCACGTAGTCTCCCCATTGCAATTAGTACGTGGGAATATGCCAAATATTTCTCATCTGCGAAAATTCGGTTGCGCTGTATACGTACCGATCTCACTGCCTAAGCGTACTTCTATGGGCCCACATAGAAAACTTGGTATCTATGTGGGATATCAATCTTCATCAATTATCAACTACCTCGAGTCTCTTACAGGGGACTTATTCACAGCCCGATACGCTGACTGCATATTTAATGAGGACCATTTCCCGGTATTAGGGGGAGATTTCAAGTACCAAAACGAATGCCAGAAAATCATCTGGAATGCCCAAGGCATTCCTCCCTCAGATCCACGTACTCTAGAGACTGAACAACAAGTTTAGAAAATTATAAACTTGCAACACATTACAAATAACATGTCAGAAGCATTTACTGATTATAAGGGTGTCACTAAATCCTCTTATCATGCTCGCAATGCGCCCGGAAGAGTGGAGGTACCAATAAAAACCATTCAACTCTCACTTCCAAAGAAGAGGGGGAGAAGTACGGCCGCTCCTAATGATAATGCTACAAGTAAGCGTCCGAGTATATCGAGGGCTAAATCCTCCAAATAAGTAAATCCAAGCCAACCTCAAGTTGGTAGACACCCAATAGTGGATAAAAATCCAACATGAGGACCAAATCCACAACCTAGATCAACGGTGCATCCAAATTCTGATCCTGTGATATCGGAACACCCTAACTCCATAGTTTTAGAAAATGTTGAGTCAAATAATGGGGTGAAAGAAATTTCCATCAATTACATAGATTCTGGAGAATCATACGATCGTAAGACTACTGTTGTCGACATGTACTTCTCCGCAGCAATTGCAGAAATCTTTCTCAACGATCCAGATCCCAAGACCATGGCAAAGTGCAAAAAGCGCTCGGACTGGGCTCAATGGAAAGAAGCAACTCAAGCCGAGATAGCTTCGCTCACTAGAAGAGGGGTATTCACATCTGCAATACCTACACCTTCCAAAGTTTTTTCTGTAGGCTTTAAATGGGTTTTCGTTCGGAAACAGAATGAAAAAATGAGGTGTGAGATATAAAGCGAGGCTAGTAGCACAAGGGTTTGCGCAGAGACCCGACATTGATTACAATGAAACCTATTCTCCAGTAATGAGTGGAATTACTTTCCGATACTTAATATCATTGGCAGTTCAAAATCATCTATCTATGCAGTTGATGGATGTGGTGACAGCATATCTATATGGGTCACTTGATTCGGACATATACATGAAGGTTCCCGATGGAATCCAAATTCCGAATCCAAACGCAAATCGCAACATGCATTGTGTAAAACTACAAAAGTCATTATATGGCTTGAAGCAGTCGGGACGAATATGGTACAACCGACTGAGTGAATTCCTTTTAAAGAAAGGATTCTCTAACAATGATGATTGCCCATGTGTTTTCATTAAGAAATCTCGAACGGGATTTTGTATTATATCCGTGTATGTTGATGATTTAAATATCATTGGCAGCCCAAAGGATATAGAAGAAGCACGCAAACATCTAAAGACGGAATTCGAAATGAAGGATTTGGGTAAGGCCAAGTATTGCCTAGGCTTACAACTTGAGCACCGTCCTTCAGGGATTTTAGTGCATCAATCAGTCTATATTCAGAAAATATTGGAGAAATTCAATATGGATAAATCATACCCTAATAAAACTTCGATGGTTGTTCGATCCTTAGAAATAGGAAAAGATCTATTTAGACCATGGGATATTGGGAAAAAGGTGTTGGGATCAGAAATCACATAGCTCAGTGTCATTTGCACACTTATGTATCTTGCAAATTGCACCAGGCCTGATATCGCATTTGTAGTTAACTTACTGGCTAGGCATAGTGCGGACCCAACTCGCAGTCATTGGACGGGAGCGAAGTGTATCCTTAGATATCTTAATGACACAAAGGATCTTGGTTATACTGATGCAGGTTACTTATCTGATCCTCATAACGAAAAATCCCAAACAGGATTTGTATTCCTACGTGGAGGTACGACTATTTCATGGAAGTCTTCTAAGCAGACTCTGACAACGACCTCTACTAATCATTCTGAAATTATTGCTCTATACGAGGCATCACGAGAATGTGTATGGCTTCGTAGAATGATTAACCACATACAACAGTCATGTGGTATTGGTTCAATTGAATCACCTACAATTATCTATGAAGATAATTTCGCTTGTGTTACACAGATACAATCAGGTTACATAAAGAGCAATATCACTAAGCATATTGTTCCTAAATTGTTTTATCCCCATGAATTACAAGAAAACGGAAAAATGAACATCTTGCAAATCAAGTCATGTGATAATCTTGCTGACCTATTTACTAAGTCCTTACCAACTTATGTGTTTCAAAAATTGGTAGATGGAATTGGTATGCGGCGACTTCGAGACTTGCCAGAATCAAGGAGAGACATCTCCTAAATGTTGACCTGTACCAGCATCATATTATACTCTTTTCTCTCACAAGTTTACTTACAAGGTTTCTTGTTAAAGTTTTTAATAAGATAATATTAACATAAGCATGTGTCATATTTCCAATTTTCTCCACCGGGGTTTTTTTGAAAAATATCAAAGACACATATTGCCCTCACAACTCATCTATGGTTTTTCCCTGAAAAAGGTTTTTCATGTGAGTTATCCAAGAGGCAATACCAATAATATGTCGTCATATTTTCTCCTAATTTTCCAACTGGGTTTTTACAAGAGTTTTAGCGACATATCACTTTATATTGCTTCTCATATTTTTCCTGAAATGGTTTTTGAGGAAGTAAACTATATGTCGTATCTCCAATATTTTTCCCCACTGGAGTTTTTAATGGGATAACAATGACATATTGATTTATTTAAATCACACTCATATATGCTATTTTCTTCTTATTTTCGTATAAGGTTTAAAGGAGTTTTTATAGCATATCTATACATACATATTCCTCAGTTTTTGTCTTTTTTCCCACATGATTTTTCGAGGAATCCAATTATACAACTGCATTGATCTCAAAGAAGATTCGATCAAGGGGGAGTGTTGTGAAATGATGCCAGTACACCAACAGGCGTCCTTCTACAGATGATCTCATCCGTCCGTACAAGCAGTTAGGATTAGAGATTAGATTAGTAGTTAACTTTCCCGAACAGTCACGTCCGTACAAAGTGACCCTTCATTTATATATAATCCAAAGGGATCAATGAAACAGTTAGTTGTTCCCAAAATCTTGTTCATTCCATTCACTTTTAACAGTCCTGGCCCTTTGCCAGCTTCAGAGTATGAAAAACCTGTCAGAAAAAGTTTTCTGGTGAGGATTGCACAAAGGACAACAGTGAAGGTGAATCCAAGTTTTTAATGTTAACCTTCAGTTTATGCAGATCAACAAAGCAGATTGAAGGCACGTGAACAGATTGCTCAGTTTCAGATTGTTCAGAATTTTTTGATACATCATCAGTGCCATTGGGTCCAAGCTCATGATTTCCAGTTTCAGTGCTGCTATCACACTTGTAGTTGTTGAACAAAGATGTTCCAATTAAAGCAAAATGGCCATCTGTAGAAACATTGATGCAACTAACTTGTCCAGAGAAAGGTAATCGAACTGAGGTAGCAATAGGGAGTCCATTGATAGTGAAGGTAGATAATGTTTTCTTTGTTTCATTCCAAACCAAAATGATTCCTTGAGAAGATAAGCATATTGCATGTGGCTCTTCGACATCAGGCCTCCTTATCAGCCTGCCTGTGCGTAAGGAATGTAGAAGAACGCCTGTTGCGTTTGATGAGGAAGCAACAAGTCCCAAGTCAGGACTAACAGAGCAGCAGGTTACTTCCCCAAGATGTCCTCTCATTAGATGCATTGGACCTTCAACTCGACGTCTCTTTGTTTCTGAGAGGCTGCTAGTGCTGCCAGAGAGAGGACTACGTGGTGTTGTTGGCGTAGTAGGTGGAGGTTGTTGAGCATTTTTCTTATGTGAGGAGCCTGTCTGATGAATCCTCCAGAGTATAACTGTGGTATCTCTAGACCCTGTCACAAGATAGTTGCTATCAGGCGACAGCGCAAGGCATGTCACTGGAGCAATATGTCCAGAAGCAGTTTCAATCGTCTTCGCTCCATCTGGGGATATCAACTTCAATGAACCATCAACGTGGCCACCTATTATTGAGCAAAATGATTTTTAGTTTTATAAGAAGATTTATGGAAAGGCGACCAACTAATGAAATAAGCTTGTAATTACCATAGCACACTCCATCAAGAAAACAAGCAAGTTCAGAACTAGTTACATAGCTCAAGCGTAATGAGGCCGTTGACTGCCTGCCTAAAGACTTCAAAAGGAAACCTAACTTTTAATTTATGTAGAGAGTTGCTTAGTACAAGATAAATTGCAATTCATACAGGAAACCATATTAGCAGAGTGACCCTTGTTCACCCTGGATTGTTTCTTCCGTAGACTTGCATCACAAGAATGACAAAGTCTACGGAATCTGCTCAGAAGTGGTTATCACGAGAATGACAAAGGAAATAGAGACGATGGACAATACATCCTGGTAGAAATATATCAATAGAAATTACCTAGATGGTTAGGTTCATATGTTCAAGAAATCAACTTACATCTTCACTACCCAAGTTCGAATGCTGGCCAACTCAGATTTGGGTGCCTATTTCTTATTTACAATGGAACCTAGTTCTTCTAAATGAAACAAAGATCAGATTCAGGCCTGGTTTACCACCTCATACATACAAAGAATTTTGGGTTTCCATCCTTGCTTTGCTTCAGTGGATTACTCCAAGCGATATTGTTATTTCTCAGTTCTCTGCGCATACTAGTCCAACTATCAACTAGAGGACTAATCCCATCGCCATAAACAATTCACATGAGGAAACCAGCTTCACTGGTAAAACTGTGCCTCAACACTTCTAATGGAGTCACTATGATGGTCTGCTGGTGGGTTCCCAGCCATGCAATTCTTCATATCGTACCTGTTGTAAATTTGACTGCCATAGGCTAAATCATGGTTCTAATCAGGAACAAGGAAGCGGGGTAATGATCAACTGGTACCAGAATAGGTTAGCAACTACAATGGAAGAAATATATTTAAATTTGTTGCAACTACTTCTCAAATCAACTGCTGGAATTTCTCTTTTTAATACGAGTTGCTTAATTGCCATTGACACACCAATCCACCAGCAATCGGCCTATAACCCTAACATAACTTATAACAAGTTAAACAACAAAAACACTTCAACCCAGTAATACTGCTAATATAAAATTACCTGTAGTTGTAAGACCTCTGCCAATGGCTTCCTCTTCATGTGAGGGACAGTCAGCAGTTGAGATGGTGTTTGTCCAAAGTAAGCTATTTGATCTTGTGTAGCTCGCCGTTCCACCTACAGCGTTTCCAGTAAAACATGAAAAGGTAGACAAAAAGGCTACTAGGAAACCTGTCGACTAACTTATGCACCCTGCTACTTACTGGGTCTGTAATTTTGTCAATGTCAACAGTTCCCTCATATGTGATGTAGAAGAATACATTGTTTGCCATTATCGCTTCTTTGCCCCTCTGTTTATATCTGCAAACCAGAGTCGTCAACAATGAAAAGGTGATTTATGTAGGTCATGGTGATGAAAAAACATCAGAACTGGCTGCTTGGGTAACTAACAAAAAGGATGCCTGGCATCTTATTCAAGGTCCATGGATGCTACAGATAAGAAACTCATTGATGAATGGCTAAAAGCAAGAATAATCCATCCAGACCATTTTATCTAAATTAGGAGCTGAGAAATATGAAAGCAGCCAATCCTATTGATGGCCAAAAAGATGCTGATAAAAAAGCAAAAAATCGAATGTAGAATGGTTGTACATATCTATCAAACTTAAGATATTATTGTACATGCAACCCAAATGGAGTGTCCATTGAAGATAGAACAAAACATCAATGGTATTAGCATGATGCAAACCTACATCAAATTATCGTTAGGATGTCTGTGCAAACACACAAGAAAGTGGTCAAGCTAGGATAATATAGAGCTTACCCGAAAATTAGATCAATCCACTCATGCAAATGAGCAGAGACGTGCTCACTCTCAAGAGCCTTCCGGTGTTTATGGACAAAATCCACATGGTTCTCAGCCCAGGGAGGCAATTCTACAGAATCTGCAATGGTACCGGAATGCATCACTGTTTTTTATCTACTCAGCTGCATAGTGGACATAAGTTGAAATGCGATTACCTAGCTTCCCTCCAAGTTGAGTTGCCCCAAAGTCAATGCCATTTATGTTGGTAAATACCTCAGGGAGGTAAAACATCTCAGGTACCTTGATGAATTACCATCAAATAATCAGATTGCTGAAACCTAGACTTGGTTTCGCCACGAACCAGTAAAGATCGATGGGAATTAGGAACTACTGCAGACACTTGTCGGTATACTTACTAGCTCTTTTACATCACTCATGTCTTCAAGAACACTATCCCATGTACCAGAAATATCAGAAAACATGCGATCAGCATGGTCAAATTTGCCGCCTTGCAGTTGTATAGACAGTGTTGTAAAAGATTCCACTCCGAAAAGGTAATACAAGACCTGCAAGGGATAATAGTAGTTAGTACACCTGTTTCAAAAAAAATAGTACTTAGTACACAAATCAAATGTTGTGATAACCAAGTATGCACTGGACAATAACCAAATATCAAAATTGCAGGCCACATAATCGAGCAAGAAATGACAACTTTGTGTTTCCTAAGTATTAGAACAATTGACAAAAGAGGATTGCAAAAAACCAAAGTTATACAAAGGGTAAAATCACAATTAAGAGACAGTTTTGACCGATGCAGGCAAAACCATGCACACATATGACCTTCAGACTCCTCTATAGTCTGCTTATTACAAATTAATCAAGAGTTAAATACAGCCCAGAGCACTTGCGTACTACATAATTCACATTGCATATCCAGTATTCTAAGTAAACATCAGATTCATATCTACTAAGAAGATATACCGTGCCAGCGCTGGAGTAATGTGAACCATAATGAAACTTTGGGATGATTGGATCCTCGAATGTAGAGTACCGTTCTTGGAACTTCTTTAGTCGTTCAGGGTTTAGTGCTCCAATTGGCTGCATCAAATAACACAGGCTGTGGTTAGTGATTAGCAAAAGACAGGAGCAACAAATAGGTGAAGGTCAACCTTTGAAAGATCTCGATACGACGAAGGATCATACAGATTCAACACTCGGGATTTGTAATCTGCTACTACCCAGGGGAAAACAGGGTACTGCACAAGCAGAAACAATATTAGGACGACAGGTCGCTAGATTCGACCAGAAATATGAAGTATGCAGGATACTGACTTGAGTAATGTCATTGTAACTGCGCCCAGCCAGTGTGTTAAGTTCCATTAAGTACTCAAAATTGCTGATCTGAACAAATTAGACATAGTTAGATATCAAAACTGTTGGAAACTGGCTGGCCTGCACAGGTGAGCAGCCTCTTTAAGCCTAGAATGAATCTTGTAAAACATAGCATAATCTAAGGTTCAATTTGTAATGTAGGTTTTATTTTTCCTCTGGCTACCATAACAAATCAATTGTTCCCTTTGAAATCCCTGAATGAATTCCGAACAGGCCATATGAGGTGTGGGCACTTTAGGAAGATGTAACCATGTATTTCCTAGAAACCCTATATCATAACACTTATCTACTCTACAACATCAACATAAAAAAAACACGATTTAGTTAGAGGCTTAAAGCTACCAATCTATGGTTAGTTACACGTACTTAGAACCAATCTAACTATTCTCTTTCATAATTCTATAGCAAAAGATACATATTTTTCTGAGTTGAAGCTTTTCCTAGTTTAAGCGTGAAACATGAGTAAAATAAGCACAGTAAAATTGCCTTCTTGATTTGTCATCAGTATGCCAGTGATACAGAGTTTAGCAATAGCCTCCAGGGAGACAGCCAGTACCTCAATGGGTAATGCATCTGCTGCCAAAGCACGATCATCAGCAATCAGTGGATTTTGTCCATCTGAAGAAGTAAGCTCATGGATACCAGCCAAAAGGGGCCGCCATCTTCTAAGAATTGCTATAAATGGTGGTAAAATCAGCTCAATGTATTGTTTCCTTAGGGGTTTCCTGTCCCTGCCAATAGCGTGCCATACCTGCATCAAGGGTAAGATAGCGCAAACTCTTATGACTAACAACTTCTTTATATTCCCTGAATAATATCATTACAAAAATACATGAACAAAAAATTAGAAGCCTAAAAGATGAATATGGTATGCTCATTTATTTACAACGTTCCCATGGATTCATTAATATAATAGTGTTTGGCCAAAAAAAGTATTTGGATGAGCAAGAAAGGCATGTATAGCTCAGCCTGGGCGTTCGGTTTTAACCGACGGTTCGGTTCGGTTTCTTCGGTTTTTCAAAATTTCGGTTTCCAGAAAATGACCCCGATCGGTTTGCTAAAATTCCAAAAACCGACCAATTTCGGTTCGGTTTTTTAGTTCGTTTTTTCGGTTAAAACCGAATAAACCGATGCAAGAAAACATCAGACAAGATTTAGAACTGACAGCACAACACAGTACATACTTGCACAGCACAGTATATTATTTGAAGACTTAAGACTGTTACAAACTTAACAATTCAATGCTCAAATCAAATATTACAAATTTGCAGTTCATTCTTGATAATAAACCACAGTACTCCATCAGTTTTGATAAACAACAGGAAAAAAAACTGGGTTCGGTTCGGTTTCTCGGTACTTCGGTTCGGTATGGCATAGAAACCGAACCCGAAACCGAACACCGAACATCACAGAACTGGAAACCAAAACCGAACCGAAAAACTGAACTACTGACTATTCGGTTCGGTTCGGTGTTCGGTTTTCGGTGAAAAAGCGCCCAGGGTGATGTATAGCATAAAAGTCAAGGGATTTAGGACAGGCCACCAAAATCTTCCAGCTTTATCCAACATGGAAATCTTCACTTGAAAATGGAAAAGAGGGAAGGATGTTAGCACATAATATTGCCATATTGAAGATAAACACTGTTACTATACCAGATTACACATCAAGAAAATGGCTGATAGCCCTCTTATCTACAGCCTTGCCCCATTGAGAAGAGGCTCTGATCATAGCCGAGTTTGGTAGGCAAAGCCCTTTATAAGATTGACTCTTGTTCCAAGAATTTCTGAGCAAGGCTAAGGCTACCTTTGTATACCAGGTGCAGGGCTAACTCAATTAGGAAGATATGAAACAGACTAGGAGAAGGGATAAGGAAATATATTTTAAAAACAAAAAATATACGGCGCCTTCCTTATCTGGAGCCATTGCCAGGTGCGCTGAGATTCGCTTTGACAGAAGCATGTGACAGTGTTTCTCCCTCCACCTCCCTCCTCGTCTCGTGTTTCTCCCTGCCCGGTCCGCACCTCCCCCTAAGCGCGGCATGCCCCCGCACGCGTGCCTCCCAATGAGCGTGCCCCTGGCGCCCCTCTTCGTGATGCAGCAGCTGGATCCAGAGGAGATGGGGAGGAGCAGAGGCAGCCCCTCCTCTTAGTGGTGCAGCAGCTGGAGCCAGGAGGAGATGGGGAGGAGCAGAGGAGGTCGTGGGGAGCGGAGGGAGCCAGTGGATCCGCCCCTCTTCCCCGTGATGCAGCAGCTGGAGGCCAGGAGGAGACGGAGAAGAGCAGAAAAGGTCGTGGGAGGAGCAGGGCCATGGTTGGCGTGCTTGGCAGTGAGGAAGACAGGCGGCATTGTGAGCAGTGAGGAAGAGAGAGATGGTTCCGTTAGCTCTGTTTGCTTCCATTTATTTCAATTAAGATGGAAGCTGCAGATAAGGAGGGCGCCAGCCCCTATGGGCACCAAATCCACTCTGTTTTAAAAATGTGAGCTGCACACTGAATCAACAACAAATTCCAGAAAATAAAAAAAATGTAATGTTGGGACCATACAATCCATAGCACATCCATGAAGAAAAGAAGTTAAAAAGGAGTTCTATGTTCAGTGTAGTAGTCTACTAAGGCGCATGACTTTAAATTCATTATGAGACAAATTACATGATTAAGTGATAATGCAAAAGAAACTCACCTCTGAATAGAGAATAGAGGAAGCAACCAACACTCTCTGTCTCTTAGACTCCGTTATTGGCATATTGAGGATGGGGCCAAGCACACTGTGAGGTCACAAGATTTAGGAATTAACAAAATGGCCACCCATGATGGACTAAAAAGCCGAATCATATCATATATTTAGCTGCATGCACTGACTAGTTGCACCCAAAAACCAAATCTGATGGGGAAAGGCGGAACACTCTCCCTCACCCTCATGTGGAAATGTGGAATTGAAGCGAGCAAACAATTTTTATTAAAAATTTGTGCCAACAGTTGCACCCAAAATCCTAAGCAGATGGGGAGATGTTGCCAATTCACTTCTACAAAATATATGAAAGCAACTTGCTACTGTTGAAGTTCTGATTATTAACTACTCCATCCCAAGATACTTGATGTTTTAGGATTTTTAGAATAGATTAGTGCTCAATGGAAACTACGTATGTACCCCTATTTATTGAAGATGATCCATGCTAATTAAGGAATAAGGCGCTACTTAAAGGAATGCATGGAGGCATGCAGGCTGCAATCTCAAGCTGATATAGGACTAATCTAGTGTCCAAGAGCTAAAACATCAAGTTTTCTGGGACGGAAGGAGGAGTATATTACAACAAATGCTCCAACTCCTAACAAAGATCATTAGGACTTTTTTTGAGAAACCATCGGCAGTTTAGCATTAGCACAGCTACATTATGTTAATTCAGCAACAAGATGGGCTGTGAATCTGACTTTGCTAAATGATGCAGTTACCTCCAAAGAAGTGCAGATCGAGGTTTTCTTGGAGATGAATAACTGTTGATATCAAATGGCATCATGCTTCCAGCCTGGCGGTCCATTCCTTCTGATACCACATCCTTTATGCTAACATCTTTTGTAAAAGCATCACCTTCACCATTGTCATCCTCCCTCATTGAAACAAGAACCATTCTAAGCATGCAAAGAAATGGTTGATCGCTATCTAGCAACTGATAGAGGGCAGTCATAACCCCCATACCAGGGCCAGAGCCCCCTCCAATACCAAGACCACCACCAAGTCCAGATTCATCTAACAGAAGTGCCTGCAGCACAGCAACTGATTTCTTCACAAGTGGAAATTCAATCCAAATCCCATTTGAATCCTTCTCTAGAACAGATTTCCAAGATTCCCAACCGCTTCCACCACCACCAAATATATCAGCTTTGGGTGGAATGCCTACACCATACCACAAACGGCTTCGGTACTTCCAACTTTCTCCAAGATCAGCTATGCAGCTCCCATAAGACACAAATGCATGCTTGACAGATTCATAAGGTTCAGCTGCTGTTGCTGCTGTAAGACGTTCCATCACGGCAGCAGAGATTTGTCCATTTGAATCAGCCATAGAAGTAAGCAACTGCTCAATCACAGCAAACAAAAATGAAGAAAGTATTCATAAGAATAAAGTTCAACTATCTGTTGGCAATAGTCTATCAGCATAAGGCATGAAGGAACAGTCAAAAGTTAATTATTTTTTATCTTCACTTGATACCAAGAAAAATGCAATGACATATAGCCATCGTGTATTACATACATCCAGAGGAAGGCCACCAGCATCACTGGACAAAGATGCCCGTCTTGAGGCCCCAGCAGCCATGGGTTCTTTACCAGCTGTGCCCAAAGAATTTGACCGACTGGCAGCCAATGAAGCCATTGCTGTGGAAGATGTGATGCTATCACCTGTAAGGGATGTGCAAAAATGTTGACCTTGTGATCTCAGATGATCTTCCACAAGCATCAGAATAACTATTGCATTCTCTGCTAGTGCTACTGAGAGATAAGCAGCATTCTCAGCTTGAACTTTTGCTTCTTCAGGAGACAAACCCTCAGCTGCAACACCAGCTGCAGCTGCTGCAATTACTCCAGTCTGCTGGACATACAAGCAAAAGAAAGACATTACAGAAGAATAGCCACAGAACTCGGGGAAAAGCTATCACATTGCAACAATCTGCATGATGATGATGAAATGTAAACCATTCAGAATTACAACAAATATATTACAGTTATCCTCTAGGATCAAACAACTACAAATAGAAATGGGATTGAGTGTCAGTATTCCTGACAACATAACAGAAAAAAATGTCAGTATTCCTGACAACCTGTTATTCTTGAGCAGAGGGAGTAGGGAATGCAGTCAAAGCTACCAACTCTACTATTTCAAACGTAACAATTAATATATCACAATTTAAGCCAGAGAAGGATTAAAAACATTTATTTTATAGGACGAGACATAAAAAAACAAAACATGAAAAATTAACTATAGAAAGTAGCAACAGTAAGAGATATAAGAAACAACTGCCAATACAATGTATAAAAAGATCCATGCTTAGGCAGATCATGTCGAGAAAAGGAGTACCTGAACTTGAAGCTCCCTGGCAGAAAAATCAAGCAGGTCACCCAACAATCTCCTTTTAAAAATAGGTAATGATTCTTCACGCCTTAAAAAGAATAGAAAGTAGAAGGTTGTCACAAAATGCAGGGCAAAAAATCCCAGTAACTGAAAAGGGTAACGGTAAATATAGTGCAGAGAAAATAAATAGTGTTGCCTAAGGAGTTTGAGAAGTAAATCCTAGGCTTTTGAGTGCAGATATCTTAGAATGAAGTTCTGAAATTATTTCTTGAACAACTACCCTGATATCTAGCTAACCTACAGATTTTTAAGAGTGAAGGGACCACCTGATCCTTTGGTCTCCAGTGCTAGATCCTCCAACCATTGAGAGCCACTCCGCACAATGAATTGTTGCCTCCACATCCTAAATAGTTGCAGGGAAAGGACAAACAAGATCTTATGAAAAAAACAAAATGAATTTGGCTGTGATACAACCATCACAAACCTATCAACAAAGAAGGGATGGGCAGATGGCCATGACACTATGAAACATGTATGTTACTGAGGATGTTCTGCTTAAAGATTATCTTGCCTTCCACCCATCTTTTTGTCGAATTGAATGCTCCAGCATTATAATCAGGAAATTGTGTATGAGGTCTTCAATCTCGCCAATGCTTACACCATCAGCATTTTTCTTTGTGCCCATCTACAGTTTGAATACGTGAAATGAAGAAATACAGTTTATGTCATCCGAGCTCAATTCTTGTTAGAAAAATATGATAAGAGGCCTGTGACACTCACCTCATGGTTAGAAATCAAAACCTCCAAAATCCATTCTGGCCACTCTGCAATCGAGGTCATTGTAGTTCTGTTATCTAGATGACTGCAAGCCAAAAACAGAAGATCCTGAAACGACATAGAAATATTTTGACACCATAAGAAATTAAACAAGATCTAAAAAATGAAAAATAAAAAACATACAAGTCTTAGTCTGTAAAGAACAAAGAGCATATAACAATGTAGCACAATACAGGTGAAAACAAATGTGTAGTTGTTTGGCTACATGGTGTCAAAGATGCCGTTAACGATTTGGCTGACTTTTACTGATATAAACATGGCACCTGGGGTTATGAAGTTGATGGAGATGTAAGGCATCCAGATATTAGCAACACTGGCATGTAATCCTAAGATTTCAAAATCTACACTGGGAGTAGTTTAAGAATGCAAATGAAGCTGACTAACATACAGCATAATTTCCAAATTGGTAGTTTTTGCTATCTGCCAGTAAAAAACAATATTACAAAGAGAAAAGGCAAAACTATACACAGCATATATGAAAACAAAGTAGCTTTGACTTTGTTCAAGAGTCAAGACTTCTAGCCTTGACCATAGGATTATGCGGGTCTTCTTTAGATCAATTCTGTTAATGATGTGCAGTTCTCCTGCTCGTTCAAGAAAAAGTCCCTACTGCATTAGTCTATTAATTAATAAACTAATATATTTATTTCAGTAAGGACCCTCGTCTACTTTCTTGTTAAAAAAGGTAGATTTGACATGATAATACAAATAATGCAACAATTCACTGTAAGGCAATGAAAACAGACCTGTATGGCACGAGCTTGGAATGCCCTAGATGCATATGGAAGCGAGCAAAGTAGAACCAGTAAAAGTTGGATATGTTCAAAACGGTGACCAGAATCATAAAGATTAAGACTTTCATCAGCTGATGAAACATTAATCTGCATTCAAGAACATGGCAAAGTTCAAGCTATAAATTTTGAACTGTAAACAAACAGTTCATCAATAAAATTGGGAGGAAGGATCAGATCATTAAACTTGAAAAGTTTTGGTTTGCTTATATGCTACTATAAATCAAAATAGTAAACATATCAAACTGCATACAACAAAAACCAAATGAAAATTCTTATGGTCCCAGCCCCTCATTTAGGCAGAGTCAATTTAGCATTCCTGCTCACTTTTATTTGGATGACCATTGAAGAACAGATCAATAGATTCTTTTGTTATTATTTCCTATCACTTTTATTTGAAGCATCAAATTTTAGTAGGACCTCTATGTTAAGAGAAGGGTTATTATACTTCACAAGAGGGTTGAAAGTAGAGAAGTAAACCAAGAGCTACTATCTTCAATTAATCACATGAAGCCAACCAGCGTAGGTAAATAAATATATACAATTATGTAGGGCAGACCCAGTGCCGGGGGCTCCCACATGAGTGGGGTCTGGGGAAGGGAAAAACCGAGGCAAGCCTTCCCTCCGCAAATCTGCGGAGAGGCTGCTTCGAACCCACGACCTGGTGACTCAGTGAAACATATCCAATCATGTAGCATTCAGAAAAACTACATACCGCAGCAGAAATCAAAGCCATATAGACATTTGCTGTCATGAGCCTCCTTGGGGCTGCTTGGAATGCCTTTTGCAATGCAAAAAGTAACAATGATACTCTATCTTTTGACACAGTATTTCCTTCTTCATTAAGTGTGGTCTGATTACCACCAGGTATATTTGGACTTCCAGCACCAGAATCAAATTTCAGGTGACCTGATCCAACTAGAGCGCCAAGAATGTGAATAATGCCAACAACAATTCCATCACCTTTGTCAACATTGTAAACATTATTCCGGACATTATCAGAAGTAATTGAGAAGCTAATGCCACCCAAGTTCTTCAAGAGCCCATTCTCAGAACCAGCACTTTACTTCCAATATTTGAGTCCAGCATATCATTTGCATTTGTGGCTTCATGTTCAGCTGATTCTTCATGGAAGACAGTTTCATGACGTTCAGCTGATTGAGTTTCATCAACCTGACTTCTTGTGTCAGCACTATCAGCTTTTCTGTTGGAACTTCCATCCTTGGGCACATTATTTTCACTAAAATTTGCACCAGAATGATCCAAAATATTTTTATTACCCGCTTTAGCTTCCCGTTGTAAAAGAACAAGTAGTGCTTCCACACCACCACTAGTGATGAAGGATTGAGAAAATAAGTTGGCTCTAGAGACGTTAGGCTGTACAATCAACCTATATATGAGGTGCAACACCCTTGCAACCTGCCAATAAATACATGAATAATAACCCACTTGTAGTAAGACATGGAAGATTTATGCATTTCCCATTCAGATTATTCATAGCTCAGCAGAAAAAAAAGGATAGAAAGCACTGGTGAAAGTTTGACAAAGTTTGTCTAGTAAGCAAAGTCCCAAGTACCTGATTAGGCTGTGGGCAGTCAACAATAAATCCAATCAAACAGCGGACATCATCTGCGGCTGCTGTTGAAGATGCTGCTCCTAACAGCAGTTCAATAACAACCAAAAGTTCATCGACTAGAGCATTCACTTCCCCCAAAGATCTCTTTGTTCCAGTGAGTGCAAAGTTATCGATTGAATCTGGTTCCTGAATTACCCAGTAACACCTTCTGCAGCCATCAAGAAGCATTTGCATCACTTTGGCATCTCGCATGCAAGCAGACTCTGTAAATACCATGTCTGCAAGAGAGGACAGAAGCTTCTTCTGTAAACCATAATTGCACGAACTCCATAGATTTAGGTCCAACAGCAAGCTGCTGAAAAGCTGCACTTGAAGTTCATGATTATTTCTTTGAGACTGGCACAAAGATACAATGGCAGCAACAAGCTCCTCATCAGTCAGTGCCTCTTCTCCACTTTCCAGCTTTGAAAGAGCTTGCAACAGATAATGTAAAACACGTGATAAAAGCTCTGGTGCAAATGCCCGGCATAATTCTTCATTATTTCCAGGGTGTTGAATAGCTTGGGAAATAATCCTGAAAACTGGGGCAGAAAGGGAAACAGTAGCAAGAGACGATGGCAAGTCCCCAGGTGTAGGCTCAAGGCTGTCCACATGCACATTGCCTATGGTTAGTGGAAGTAAAGCCATTGGGCCCCCATAAGCTAAGGCCCATAAAGATTCTGCAGGTCGCACACGAGATGAGACATGAACCAATCCAAGAACCTCTGCAGGCCTTCGATGAGTGGCTAAAATTCAACAGAAGAAGGTACCAGCTAGATACTTAGATCATATATAGAGTACGGGAGACCATGACAAAATGGCATCCAGGCGTAGCAGGAGCAACAAGAAATATTATACGCCCGGTTTCAATAGCTTTGCGATCCTATTAAATGATTCAGTGATTTTCAACATTTCTTCTCTCCTTTAAAACATTTGCAATGGGTATTTTCAGATTTGGAAAGCAAGGTACTAACATGGATCGTCGACTAAAATTAATGAATTCAAATAAATGGTAATGCTGGTGCAGGTGCAAGAAATGGAATATAGTCAACTCTAAGTACAAAGGTAGGAGATGTGAGGAGTTAAAACCTGATGAACCAGAAGGTGAGGAATCTGGGCAAAACCGCCCAGTGAGAAGACTAGGATGGTAAAGAAGATGCAAGCTTCCCCCTATCTCATTGTTGAGTGTAAAGCTCTCTTCAGCCATACTCTTAACATGATCATTAGTTGCCTTCCATGGCAAGCCTGCGCCATTTCCAAAACTGGGCAGTGTATCTCCTCCTCGGGATGCTAGCCGTCTCATTCTGTCTGGCCCAACTGGTTCCTTGAAGATGTAGACAGGCCCCATTTCAGCAAATAATGGGCATTGCCGCCGGCGCCTCTGCAGGCCTGCAATAGTTGGCGGTGGATTTGTCCCAATGCAGCAAAATGCAAGTGGTTTCGAGATACGCGGAAACTCAAATGGACGGCTCTCATACAGGCTACCATCAACATACAGCCTCAATTCGCTATCACCCTTTCCAAGCAAACTATGCTTGTTTGTGTGCTCCAAGCCAACAAAATACCAGCACTGAGGCTTGAACGCATACGTGAAGTGCAAAGAAGCTTTCTTACCCCTCCCACCCACACTCTCCACCACCAAGAACTGGCCATGAAGGTAGGCTTCCACGCCCTGGTTATCTGAAGAGAGAAAGCTGAAAAGCCGGGGCATGTGTGTTGTTCCTTCTCCCGCAAGGGCACTGGCTGCCGCAGCAGCTGACATTGCTGATGATTTTCCAGATGTTGCCACCGCAGCAGCAGCAATGGCTGCGGCAGCTGTTGCTGTGCTAAGCGTATCCGAGAATCTAAAGATATGATTTGGTGTGGCCACGGCGCGGCCTCAGGGTGGTCACGTCGCCGGCTTTTCGTGGCCGTTCGATCGGTAGATCGGGCGAGCCGCGATCGTTTTACAAAAAACCCCTTTAAGTTTTCGGAAATCAATCCGCGCTCCAAACGTCCTCTCATAATTTTTTAAAAAAAACGCCTCGTATTATTTCCAAATCAACGCTCAGTCCAGACCGGATGGGCACTGGTTTGTTTGCAAAAAAGACCTCCACTTTATCGAAAATCAACTCGCGCTCCCCAGACACTCTCGCCGCTTTTTGCGAAAACATCCTCAGATTTTTCTCAAATCAAAATACAGCTCAACTTTGATTATATCTTTTTTTTTCTCAAAAAAAATACGTGTGGCCAGTGGACCGCGCGCATGGGCGCGTCCGAAAAACTAGTGATTCTATATATATCCAAGTGGCGAGCCCATATCCATTTAAGAAGGGCCACCTGCTGTCACCTGGGCCAAGCAGACCAGAGCTCTCCCCGTCGAACTCAAATGACACAGCAGGACCTTTTGCTTCCACGCTGCCCATGGCCTTCTCAAGCGCTAGCATAAGTGGCGTGGCCCAGCTCGTTCCAAGTGCCTTTCTAACCAAATCAAGCCAGGAACGCAGGTCTTTCACACTAAGCGAGTGCCCACCCAACATCTGAATGCACTGAAGCAGTGGCGTCCCGTCCCACCTACTACCCTGATCCATTTCGACGAATAGCTTCTCCGCGGACGCGAGGAGGGCAGCCATGAGGCCCGCGGAAGAACACATGGCTCGGTTGCGAGTGCAGGCGCGGAGGGCGGCGTGCAGACCCGAGGCTGCACGAGTGCGCGGCGACGGCTCGTCGTCTTCGGGGAGATGAGGCAGGAGCTCGGCGGCGACGACAGCGGCACGCGAGCTGATCATGACGGTGGGAGGAGCGCCGGTGCCGGTGCCGGTGGCGTCGCCTGCCTCGTCCGCACCGCTCATGGTGCCGAGCAGCACGTCGACGACGGAGTGCGCCAGCTCGCCCTCCTCCTGGGAGACCACCTCGCGGAGGAGGTCCGCCCCACCCGCGATCGCCTCCTCCACCGCCCGCACCACCTCCTGCGGCGCGTCGGCCGGCACTCCGGGCGGCCGCGGCCGCAGCCTGGGCCGCGGGGACGGCTCGTAGGGCGTGGCCGGCGTGCCGGTACTCATCCCCGGATCCGACGCCGCCTCCTCCTCGACGACGCCTTCCTCGTCGCCGAGCGGTACGGCCGCGAACTGCTCCTCGGAGCCCTCCTCCCGCGGCGGCGCCGGGGAGGAATCGGGCAACTCGCGCGCGTCCTCCGCCATTGCTAGGACTTCACTCCATCAAGACCAATTCCGAACAGAGTGCGGGGTGTGGAAATGCGAGCGAGAATCGGTCAACGGAAGTGAAACAGCGGGCGGGCGTAAACTGGAGTGGGGGAAGAATCGGAGCGGGAAAAATGGCAGCGCGCGGTGCGCGTGTAGATCTGAAGAGATCTACGAGGTGCTGGGTGCAAATGCGTGCGGAGCGGCGGTGCACGGCGAGATCCGAGAGGCGGGGGGGGGGGGGGGGGGGTGTCAGGATTCAGGAGGGGAGAAGACGTGGCGCGGCTCCGGGTGGGTTCACACGCCTTCATTTCAAATTCCACCTCTGACGCTCTAAAATATTTTTCGCCCTGTGGTATATTTGGAAAGCTAGGAATGACAATCACTTCCAAAGGCATACATGGACTCCTGTGCATGTAAATAATGCGGTTGCTGCCCACATTCAAACCAACGCCCAAGCAAGGCTCCAGTAGGCCATCCCTTCACCTACTACAGCCTCAGATGCAACTCTCTCGCTGCAACAGCCTCCTCACACGCTGCAAGGTACGCTGATTTCCATTGCAGGACCAGGTGCCACTGATGAACCGTCGTCCCAAACTACAGACACATCACAACGTCGCCCACTCACCCAGGTATGCAAGGTATGCCTCTTGCAACACAACAGGCACACACGATGAACAGCCAGCCGATTACTGTACCGGCCCTGCTTCATGGTACAAGATGCTATGTGGATGCGACCATCGAGCCAGACCAACAAAATTCGCAGCCCAAACCGGCTGGATTGGGTGTTTTCATTCTCAATTTCCAGGAACAGACGCCCCAGGCGATTTACATCAAAACCAGGCTTGATGATTGCTCCTCAGTGGCGGAGGCTGCTTGCCCTTGCCTCGGCAGTCAGCCACAACCTCAACCTTTCAGGTGTTAATTTCTTGTCGGACTGTGAACAATTGGTTCACTTTCTCAACAAGAATGATATCTCCAATCCGCCGGACTGGAGAATCAAGTATTTCACACAAACCTTCTCCAACTACACAAGAAGCAGGTCATCCAACATCTTCAAGGTCCACAGGCGCCTTAATACCACGGCAGATGCTCTAGCCCACCAAGCTGTGCAACACTCCCCTTTCCAGAGCTCTGATCTGGAATTCTCCTGTTCTTTAGAGCACCATATGCCTCAGTGCAATGTTCTACAAGCTCTACATTCTGTAGGCTTAACTGGTGTAACAATACTTGCAGCGCGTTGCTGCTAATTATAAAGTTGTTTATTGTAAAAAAAACTATTCCAAACCTTTGGCTATAACTTTTTATGTGTTGAGCTAGGATATTTGACGATGATATGGATAGACTTGCCTTGAAATATAGGTCCTATTTGGAACCGCTATACTTGATTTTTTTCAGCTCCATTTCACATTTTATGGAGCAAAGTTTGTGGAGCAGTCCTAAATAGACATAGAGTTTCATGGTAGATATACTTTTAGTAACTCTTTTATTAAATAAAAGTTTTGTGAATAAAATAGTAATGGTTAAAGCTATATTTTTATAGATAACGTCATATATACGCGAAGTGTGAATTATGTGACCGGAAGGAATATGTCCAACCAAACGCACTCTAAAAACAAGTTAGTTAAATTTTGCAACAGTTCTCTTCGAAATGGCACTGCCTAGTGCCTATATGGAGTGACGACACCGTACCCACGGAGCAGCGGAAGACATATATATTGTACCCTCGGCAACAAAAGCAAGGATCATCGACATATATGCCGTCTAAATCTTGGACACAGAAGAAAAATGGTCTAGATCGAGTAGTTTACATGGGAGCAAGAGAACGCTGGCACCGGCGGTAGTGCAAAAACGGCACACGGGTACACAAGCAGGCAGGCAGAGGCCACCGGTCGTCGATGCAAGACAACACAGCACTGTTCCGATCCGGGGCATCCGAGCATGTCGATCGCGCGAGCTTCTGCGCGCGCCTTGTCTTGAGACTCAGAGAGCTCGTGCCTTGACGATGTCCATGCCCATCTCGCTGGGATCGGTGGCCTGCAGCTCCACCTGGATGCCGTCCAGCTCCCTCTTGAACCGGTCCTTGGAGCTCGCGTACAGCATCTTGCTCCTCACCCTCGACGTGTCCGGGGACCTGCAGGGCGGTGCAATGCAATGCATATATGCATTTCGGCATTGATTTGGCATATATACATGTACGGAGATGATAATATCGATACGGCGAATGAAGAGAGATCATGCAGCAAGCAGCATAATCGGACGTACGGTCTCGATATATATTCCATGCATTTATTACCAGGAGATGAAGAAGATCTTGCTCTTCTGGCAGTTCTCGTCGGTGGTGAAGTCGAAGTCGAAGACGGCGTAGCGGCACTCGCTGTCGGGCATGGAGCCGGTGAAGTCGTCGTACGTGTCGCCGGGCTGCCCCAGCCTGTCCACCACCACCTGCTGCGTCTGCTCGTTGATCTTGAACGTGATGAACCGGAAGCTCCGCTTCGACTTGAGCTCCTGGAACTTGAGCTTGCACTCGTCGCTCACGGCCATCCCCGACGCCGAGTTCGCCTGCTTGCATTGCATCATTTATTATTTATTTTGCCACAACAAACAAGATCTTGAACCATTGGCAAGATATACGTTCATCAGGAGAAAGATTATCAAGTGCTCGATCACTCACCATGGTTGATGGGTTCGTTTTGTTTCCACAGCCGGGCCGGGCTCGACGGTGGCGGGCGAGGAGCTGAGGGGACGACGGGGAGGCGGTGCGCAATGGCGATGGCGATCGCGCCAGACGGGGGAGCAAAGGTTTTCAAGGCCTGGAAGACAGGGAAGGGAGCAGGCGAAATATAGGAAACGGGACGTGAGGCCGGCGCCATGCCGCCACGTTAGGAGGAGAGGCCGCGCGCGCTTGACCAAGCACGTCCCCTCCTTCGTGTGCGGCCGGTAGCGGCGCGGTAGGCATGCGCGCCATCGTCGCTAGCTTCAACCGGCTGGCTCAACATGAGGAACACTAACCGTGACCGTGAGCTGTGACAGCGAAGTGACATGGCTGATTGGTCATCAGATTCACCTTTCTAGTTTTGGCACAACATGAGGAACACCATTCTCTAGCGTCTGAACATTTGAAAGAATACACAGATTGCTACCAGGGCAGCTGGTTTATCTCGTGTTCTTCAAGGAGCGAACAGGAAACACGTAAAAGTAAAACCGTATCTTGATGGGTGTCTGGATGTGAAAATTGAGCGGGCATGTTCGCTTGAACTTATGAGCCGGCTTATCAGCTAGAATCTATAATATTTTTCTCTCACAACAAAACAGTTTCAGCCAGCTTTAATACAAGCCGAACAGGCCTTTTGCATAGCCCAATGCTAGCCAAACAATGACAAGAACACTTCAGGGGCAACCATGCAGAGGCGTATGTAGTTGGCAGACGTGTTCTCATCGTCATCAGCGTTACACAACCACTTGACAGTACGGGGTTGTCCAGAAGGATCATTTGTATCTTAAGCTACAGCAACATTTCCACTCTTTAACCAAAGAATTTTACAACTTTAGGAGCTTGCTTGGCTTTTGTCTTCGCACTGGCGCTCTTCTCCTCATTTCCCGTCCCTGTTGCTGGCTTTGGACCTGATTGCTTTGCCTTTTTCGATTTGGCGGGTTTTGGTTCCTCTTCATCAACGAAATCATCCTCGAGGTCATCTCCACCATGGTGAATGGCAGGACCTTCCTGATTGTGCTCTTCCATGTTGACATCTTATATAAGAAAAATAAACCAGACATTAGCTATTCTTATTCCAGCACTGGACAACTACAGAAGACCAATTGAATCAGCAGATCAGCTTAATGACCATCTCAATGTACTACAACAAATTATAATTTATTTCAGCCAACCATCATTAACAAATAAAAAGCAGATTCCATCCATCCTAACAGTGTGACGCCACGATATGCAGCCTACACGCTACAAATACAGAATTCCTATCCAAAATTAAGTTCTCTACTAAAAACAAAGAAAAGTATAGCTCTTAAGAACAAATTAATTATATTCATTTCCTGAATCATCATTCCACGGGTATGGTAAAATTATTTATATTTCAAATGTACCAACAATAATATGGTCCATATTCGTATAGACCATTACAATACTGCAAAACACTTGTCTGCTTACTGCAGAGACTGGAGAATAACAATAGGCAGGTTGAATATATATATCAATCACAAGAACATTGCATATGCTGGTTCATGCTCCAAATCTTGATAATGTGTAAAAAACAATTCTGACAATGCAAAGATACGTTAAGTATATTTTTGGTCTGCTTACCATCATCTCTGGAGGATATCAAATCTTGTTTCCCTTTATTCGGACAATGTCTGGCCAAGTGGGTAACTTCTCCACATACCTTACAACAACCACCCTGAAAATAGTATGGAGTTGAGATTCACATGCAAGGATGCTCAAATTAATAGAAAAACAAAACAAACCAAGTAGAAGCAGTCTCAACAATAATAAAAAGAAAAATGCTTCAACATTAAGGAGTATTGACGTCTCCAAACATGAGATTTTCATCAGATAGGTCTGTGCAGGGCCACCCAGGGGATGGACTTGGGAGATTATTTGAGGGACTTGAAATTCAATCAAGAAGTTTATATAAACTGTTCACTGAATTCTGAGCAAGGATAACCATCAGAGAGAATTGTATAGATAAGTTCAAGCTGGATTTATAGATTGGATAGAATTCACAGAAAAAAATTAAAAAATTCCTCCACTTAACATCTTATCAATCTTTACCATATATATGAAGACTTCCCAATCCATTTGTTTGCATGATGTATCATTATGCAAAACAAGAAAGAAAAAACTCGGTTCTCAAGCTGCAGGTGACCACAGCAGCTTATAGCAACTAAAAAGAATAATAATGAACCAAAAACACTTCCTGTTAGGCATGAGCGCATGACATATTTGTTTCTAATAAACTATTGCCGCATAATGGAAGCAATGCCTTGCATTCGCAGTATCATGAGAATTGAGAAGGCATCGGCGAGTATCGTAAAGTACCTTTGGATAGATGCCATGTTTGTTTTCAGGGCAGTTCTTGCTCAAATGTCCTTGCTGTTTGCAGATAAAGCAGCTTGCAAAATTCGTTCCCCCTGCAGATAGAAACCACATAAGCAAGCAATGATAACACTGCTAGCAGGCATAGAGTACATGAAATGCCTACGATGGATGCACAAGGATTACCATTCTCAATGGGCTTGGGGCACTTGGAAAGAGAATGTCCAGATTCACCACAGTTATAGCAAAATTTCTTCAAATTTCCCTCGCTTTTTTCAGGGCAGTTCTTCAGACTATGGCCCTGCTCCCTGCAAAGCAAGCAAATCTGGAGAAAAAAATCGTATTATTATATTTTTCAAGGAAACTGAAACGGATCACTTCAAATGGGCTATCAGTTATGAAACCAACGGACAGAAAAAAAAACATTTAGAAACACCACTAATTAACACTCAATGCAGTCAATTAACACGAGCATGTGACAGCAGGAAGCTTCCAGTTCATCATATAATCACTAATGAACGTGGCACATGTTTGCCCAAAAGTCCAATTGAGAGTATACATCTAGCAAGTATGCGTTAGCAGTTGCACAACGGCGGTCCTAGACTATTGAAAGTCACCATCATTTGTTCGGTTCTAAACTTTGAAGGTTCTACCCAACAATGCCAGGAAAAAATTACAGTTGCTTTAAATCCACTTCAAAGGTGAGGTACAATACTACATCATTCGGCGTCCATGGCATCTTTAGCAATTGGTTCTTCCCTAAACAAAACTAACCTTACAAGTTTCTAACTACGGCGCGTCTATTTCTAGGTGACTATAGTAGGTTCGTACCTTGTTCTTGTCCCAGAGGGCCTTCTCGGGGCAAGCCTTGGCGACGTGGTCGGTGGACTTGCAGATGAAGCAGCGCTCCCCGGGGCGCATCCCGGGAACCCGCAGCGGGTGCTTAAACCTCCCCGTGCCGCCCTTCTTGGGCTTCTTGAACATGCCCTTCTTGTTCTTCTTGCTCTTCTTTTTGGCACCGTCGGCAGAAGGGGCGGGCTGCGGAGGGAATAGGTCTGGGTTCGCCTCTCGGAAGTGCTTCCGCGCCTCCCGCTGACGCTTGTTGGCCATCTATGGCTACGCCGGCTCCTCCTCGCACTTGCTTGCTATGGCTAGTGTCTTCCTCGGCGGCGGCGGCGGGAGGTGAGAAACGTGTGAGCACTGCAGCAGGTCGGAACTCGGAGGGTTCTTTCGGGTGGAAGGGGCGCTTTAAGATTCGTGTTTTCCTACTAGACCGACGGATTTCTCATTACACGAGCCTCTGGAGTCTGGGCCTCTAGTAGTAACTACGTACTAACAACCGGGCGGAACTCATTTTTCCAACGTAAATCAGTCGAGCTTATTTTTTTTGTCAAAAAAAGGGAGTACATATCAACGGGGAATCGATCGATTTGTCTCGCAAAAAAAAAAAAAAAAAACTGGAGAATCGATTTGAAGAACATTTGGAGGGGAAAACTGCTGCCCCCCAGCCTTTGGTTTTCAGCCATGTCGCTGCAACTGAATGATCCATTTATAAACATAAAAGAAGTGTACGGCAGAATGTTTTCTACAAGTAATTCAACAGACAAGACAGTTTGCAATGAACTATTCCAAGTTTACAAACGTCTTGCCTAAAACTAGTACATTTGAAATTCAAGGACAATGTCATCGGTCCTACTCCAAATCATTGTTTGTACAGAGACTCCCAAAGAGCGCCGAGGTCAACATTGCCTCCGGAAACAATTATCCCTATCTTGCTGCTCTCATGCCAAGCAGAGCTTTGCTTAAACTCGTCGGACAGTGCTGCGGCCAGGCCAATTGCGCCACTAGGCTCAACAGCCACCTTCAGGATCTCATAGCACATTTTCATGGCGTCCACAATCGCAGTGTCATCCACAACGATAACATCGTTCACCAAGTCACGCACCACAGGCCTAAAATACAGAGATCAAATGTACCAAATTCCAAAAAAAAAGAAGAAAAAAAGTTAAATACGAACGAATGCTGAGCTTAGAAGTGCTCTGGAGTATTGCTTCAGAAACTTGATATATTTGATATAATCCTTCTTTGTGAAAGCACCTCTTGTGTGGTGGTGGAGCTGTGGGTGCACGAACTCTACCCAACTAGGGTTCAAATCCTAGTCCACATGTTTAAAAAGATTAAAGACTATGTGCATCCCTTGTTGGTGTAGATTAATTTCATTATATAAAAAAAATACAGTGCTCCTTTCACTTCCAGTATCATAATTCTCAGTGTAACTGGAAGTTCTACCCGAACAACCTAACATTGAGTATTGGCAGTGATGCAAATCAGTTCAGGAAATTAACTCAAGAAACCTTCTGGCCAAACATTCCAACATTTTCACCAACGTACCAAGAAACAAGGTGGGCATTTTAGAAAGGCTCAAAAGAACTCAACAAAGCAAGCAAAAAGGTTTATGGATATTTGTTGCAAATTGATTTACCATGTTAAGTCACCAAGAAAAGCTCGTAGTCCATCAGCAATGGTGTTTGTGGAAGCCAATGTGATGATCTTTCCAGCAGCCTTAGACTGCGCAGAATCATCAGCACCTTTTGGTTCTGCTGCCAGAATGCGATCGAAGGGTTTATGGCCTTTGCAGCAAGAGTCACACCAGAAATTAAACCACCGCCTATAGTTCAGTCAAAAAAATGCTAGTTTAGAAACGAAATTGTATCATTTACATCATAAAAAAGTTCATGCAGTACATACCACTAATGGGAACAATAATTGTGTCAATTTCAGGGACTTGCTCCAAAAGTTCAAGAGATACTGTACCCTGACCACTGGAAAATCATCACAAATTGCCATGCATTAAGAGTACATATCAGCAACGCACAACATGAAACCTGAGAAAGTGGGTTGATTTAGAAATGGTTCACATGACATGATAGCAGTAGTTTGTATTTTTTGGTCCATATTTTACAGTACACTGTGAATGGGTTAAGCAGCCTTTTTTATTTCATGTCATTTTGCTTCCTTTTGTGCCCAGTTGTGCCCACAAACTTAAGCTCCAAGTTCTTTCTTTCCGCTAGCCACATTTCTCCTGAAATTTGTAACCTTCTATACAAGAAGGGCCTTACTTTTGTCTAAAAGTAAAATTGGGTATTCATTTAGAACAAATGGCCCAACAAGCAAAATAAAAAAGTGAGATGATGTGCTAACATCAGTATCAAGTAACTCCATATCATTTTTTTGCAATCATTTCACTAGAAGAATCCATCAGCACTGAAGTAAACATCTGATTGAAATTCTTAGTACATGGACACATGTGGTTCACTGGTCCTCAACATTCCAGGGACGACACAGGACCCCAGAAAGGTGAACTGACTTCTAAACCTATATGCTCTGTCCTTCAGTAAATTGCTAATGAAACTATTTGGGCAAACTTCTTTCAAATCATAGTGATCATGAAAAAAAAAACATCAGTTCCAAATGCTGGACTGACTTCTCTTGCACTAGAAAACAGTTGCTTAGGATTTAGGAACTAGGACTAAGAGCAACTCCAACAGAGATGCTATTTTTTATTTTGAATCCAGTTTAGATAATTTGTGGTATAAAATAGACTCCAACAGATATTGTATCTGGCTTTCTAAAATACCCAGCCGGCTATCCCATGAATTCCGCCAGGTAAATAAAGCAAACCTATGACGCTCGCCATCGCTCCTCCCGCGCGATTTCCCAGGTGCGGGGAGTCCTTCCCGCGAGAGAGCGCTTCGCGCGGCTCTATTCTCCCGACACCCCACCGGTACATTGCTTTGTCTGGCTTCGACCCTTCCCGTCCACAACCACCGTCGTGCTCTACGGCGTCGTCGCTTCCCTCTAGGTGCCGGTGCTCGTCAACATTGCCATGGATACACAAATTCACGTAGCTGCGTGCCTGCATTCGCCATCATCCTCCCTGTCCCCGTGCCGCCCCAGTGCCCCACACCGGCCGAGCTGCAAGAGGAGGCGGTCATGGCGGCAGCTGGGTGACGGGGGAACGAAGCACAGCTTAACTAGTCATCAGATCAGCCGCACACCGCACTTTTGGGGCTCTCGTGGAGGCCGCCGAACTCTGGCGCCTTTGTAGCAAACTCAGATGTCTGCTGGTTCTGGCATGGCCACCGCACGCCGCACTCTGCAGCTCCAAAGAGTAGCAGACTAGCAGCAATGCTGTTCTTTTAATAGAGTACTAGGCTACTACTCCAGTAGAACAAATCGAAGAGATCAGCAGCTAGCTCTGGAAATTGCAGTGATCAGACTTGACAAAGTTCATCTATATTGTGCTGGAATATACAGTTTTGTACTGAGCCATGTCAATGATCTGTACTTTGCAATGTCATCGATATGAACTCTGTAAAGGAGCTGCTTCTAATGTGAGCACGATGAAGATGCTACTACCTGTGTTTCAGGCACCATCATGGTAGTTTGCCCGGTTGGGATTTGGGCAGGTGACGTCGAACTTTTCAATATAGAAGATGAGAAATAGCTAGGCTGTTGTAGAGTCCTCTTCTTTTGAGGAGTTTTCTATTTTACAGAATAGCTAAAATATGGAATTTGGCAACTAATTTTAGACAATCTCTTGGAGATGCTCTAACATGGACATAAAGATAAGTTATACTCTAAATCCACCTAACATTACCTGAAGTAATGTCTAAGGCTCTAAGCCATTGTGAAATAAAACAGATAAATAATCTCATTGCATATTGGACGCACCTCTATCTTTGGGGAATGGATATGATTTTTCATGTAATAGAAGAGTTATAAGAAAAAAAAATCATGACCAAAAGTCTAAAACACACCTGATAGTGTATTTATCATTGAAGGGATGAATAAGAACAGCACCAGTCTCCTCCTGGACTCTTTTACAAACAGATTCTCTCGATTCAATGCTGGCATCGCTCCAGATAATATGACCACCATACCGCTTAACATTTTCAACCTTACACGCTGGTGCATTTCTTGGTATGACAATGTGTGCAGGTATGCCACGCAGCTTTGCAGCCAAAGCCACGGCGGCGGCATGGTTCCCACTGCAAAGAAACCATCCTACTATATCGTCATATCGATGCCTTTCTATTCTAAAAATTGCAGAAAGAACAACGAAGATGAAGCTAGCACCAAACCTGCTATGTGTCACAACGCCCTTTGATGCCTGCTCATCCTCAAGTGCGAATATCGAATTCGAAGCACCTCGGATCTTGAATGCGCCCCTACACAACACAACATTTCCCCACTAAAACAATCAGTACAGTACCAAATACAGAGCATCCCAGAACTGAATAACAACACATCGGTCAGTAACCCTCACGCTTTCTGGAAGCACTCGCACTTGAAGAAGAGCTGCTTCCCCACCATGGCATCGATGGACGTCGACGACAGAACGGGCGTCCTGTGGATGTACGGCGCAATGCGTGCCTGCGCCTCCCTGATGGAATCAATGTCGGCAGCATAGCCCTGGCCTTCCGTGCTGTCACCGGTGCCGTCTCCGCTTCCCATCAGGTCTAGTGGATAGTACAGATAATCAGTTCTATATAGTGCTATTAGTGCCGAGCGATTGAAGATAGCACGGGAGGGCAGGTTCAGTTGAAACCCCCAAATTTATTTTTGGAAAAATAAACTACGCTACTAGAGCTCCAGCACGCAACAAACTGGGTGGATTGGAGTATCCGTCCGAGCAGGAAAGATTTCGGATTGATTGGTCGCAGCAAAGAAACGATCCTGTGGGACAAGACTGTGTCGTAGAAGAATTCATCCAAGAGAAGTAGGGCTTCCTTACCAACAGCAGAAGGCGCCAATCGAGGTCCGGGTCGCCGGATGATTGTAGACCTCACCTCTCCAGTTCGCCACTACGCGCCAAGGACTAGGAGAAGGGAGAACGAGGACGACGACTGCAAAGCGAATGTAACCGTGTGTTTGGATTGGTGGTTGGGGTGGGATATCCCGGGTCCGACTCATTTTTTTTAAGGAAACCGGGTCCGACCCAGATGGGCTGCTGTTTGGTTTGGGGTTAGATGAAACTGGGTCCAACCCAGTAGGGATGCGGGTTCATCTAATCCCTCCGAATCGAGGGACGAGGGGAGGATGAGGCCGGCGAGCCTAGAGCCTCGCCCTGCGTGGCCCACGTAGAAGACTCGGCCCATTAGAGGCCCAATTTTACTCGACCTGTGTGCTCCGCAGGCTGTGAGACCGAGGGGAGTATATTTGTCACTTTTCAGAAACAAAACTGATCCAAAATAATGAATCCTACCCCTGAGATCAGCAGATAGTAAGGTTCAAAAAAAAAAAAAAGGAGAGATCAGCAGATAGTGACTAGTGAGAGGGGTAAAAGCGAAGTGGTTTGTGTAGGACATGGCATGCACGAGCACCGATCAGCACTTTCAGCAGTAGCAACAGCAGTGGCATGCCGGCACTGGCGTCTCTCCGGCTGGTAGCGGTGATGGCCGAATGCAACAACACAGATTGCCGATCTTCAGGAAGAGACCTTGACTCACCGGTGGAACTTCCAAATCTAGGTAGGACGAGGAAGCAAACAATTAATCCTTTTTCCGGCACCAGTTCTGTATCCGCGTGGGTAACCTGGCGTCTCTCCCCTTTCTTCTCCGGATTCTCCCGATGCAATCCGTTTGGATCCCTTATCTGACCTCAATTTGTTCCCGAATCTGATTTGCCCTCTGCTCTACTTAAACGTCTCAGGGCGGAGGAGGAGGAGAAGGTACGGGGATTCATGGCCGAGAAGAATTTTCAGGAAGCGTTGCTGCGTCCGCCTGTTGAGGACCACCAGCTCCCCGACGAGGCTGGCGCACCCAGCAGCTGGGCTATTCTCGACGTGAGGGCCTACATCGCCGACTGTCGCAACGCAACGACGGCTTATGGCCACCTGCGTAACGGCGTGGAGATCCAGGTTACCTTCTGCGTTGCGCGCCCGCCTGTTGTCTCCTACTTCTGCTTCTGGTGCCCGGAATCTACTCATCTCGCCGATCTAGGTGTAGAGCCCATAATCAAAGCCGCGGAGGCAGACCTCGTCATCTTTGGCGTCGGACTCGGTCTGATCATGCTCGACGACCCTTACTGCTTGTTCTTTAATAGAGGCATTCTCCGCCATCGCGATATCACCAACCCATACGACGACCAGTACCATATTGCCTCATTAATCGGTTCATCAAAAAAATCATGGCAGTTCGTCCTACACCTATTCGACTCCAGGACTGAAAGTTGGAGTTCCCAGTGCCTTTCTGTACATGGCAAAGAGAACCAACATCGCCAGTTTCGTTTTTCTCCGAGAAAAGCAATCATGCTCGGACAAGGGGGTTTAATGGGTTTTGTTGATCTCTGGCGAGGTATCCTCATATGCGATGTTCTTGACTGTAATAACAAGTCTCTGCATTACCTCCCATTCCCACGGTCACTCAGGGACAACAAGAAGCTCCGACTCCAACCAGTCCTTGCACGGGACATTGTCGTTGTCCAAAGGCTGCATCAAGGTCATCGGCCGTTTTTACTGCTCTGCCTCAAGTGCCTGAAAGGTTTCCATCTGGAGCATGGCAGATACTTCTGTTGGAAAGAACTGGGACAGGGACTACATGTTTCATGTGAATAATGATTTAGTTGACAATAGCACATTCCATTTGGAATTGCTTCCAAAACTGCAGCAGGCTAATGATGGTAACTCACCTCAGCAATTGTTGGAGGCACTTTACATTACTCACCCTACACTTAGTTTGAACGATGATAAAGCCTACTTCATGGCCAAAATCGATCCATACGACAAAAGAGCATGGGTGCTTGCTGTGGACTTGAAGAATGAGAGGCTACAAGATGTCGGAGTGTTCCAAGCAGATCGATCGCATGGTGTTACCTTATCCTACATTCACAGTAGAATCTCCCAATATTTCAAGACCGAACAAGGTAATTATAATGATTCGTCTATGTATGATTGCATTTTCTGAAAGTTGTTGGCCTCTTTAAAATAAAGTCTGTGTGATTTGTGTCTAGGTGATGAACTGATCCCTGATGATATGAATGCAATGCAATGTCACAGTATATAGTAATAATAAATAGATATGTAGGGGTCCTTGGTCAGGAAAATCCTTCATGGCTTGTCTGATCTTATTTCAAGCAAAATAAAGGTTGCATTGCCTTTTTTTTCTGCGCTCATTTGAAGTAGGACAACTTTTATGCTGATATTGGTATAGTGCTTGACTACTACTGTAGACACCATTATTTTTTAGCGAAGGAAGGAGCTTTATTATCAAACCGGGGAGCCAAGCATTGCAGTTTTGAGTCAAAGAACACATACTTGTCTAATACATGTGGTTCGTCATTTAAGTCCCGCCATGAACAAAATCTACTGAAATTAAAGATTCTTGTGATTCGGCTGACCTTGAACCCGGCTTGATCCGCTTTTTTTTTCAGCCGGAATAGTGTTTTCCCTCACAAAATTTCAGCAGCTACAGTGTTTTCAACAGCTACAGTGCTTTTTTTTGTCAGCCCAACACAGCTTAATGGTAACAATCATGCTGTGTGGGGACTGGGGATGACCTGATTGCTTCTGACTGTTTGGAGGTGATCACTAATGTTATGGGTGGCCAGAGGGCCAGCCCACCTGCCTCTCATGGCAAGGGATAAGGATTAGGAAAGATATTAGATTAGATCAGATTACTTTCTTATTTCTAGAGATTAGTTTCTTAGGGGTCAAGTCTCCTCTCATTAGAGATATAAAGGCGCGCCGAATCGGCGGCCTCTCAGGTGTCCACGTACGTTCTATTTATTTGGTGTGTTAGATAGAAATTCCACGACTCAGATAAATCGCGTCACAATAAGTCTTCCTCAATGCATTCGGCAGTGGAGAGATCAAACAAGTGGACGCATTCAATGAAGTAGATGAAAAATTAAATGGCCCAAGGACAATGTACTTTGCGTGCCGGAGGATGCAGAGGCGTCGGCAGAACTGGGCTCCACCATGGTCCTCTCATGTAAAATGGTGTTCCTTCCTCTTTCTCTCTCTCGTGTAAATGGCAGGCGGCAGTAGTTGCTTGCTCCTCTACTCCCTCCCTCACTCTCCCTCACTCTCTCGGCAAGTGGCGCAGCAGCAGCCTGCACGGCAGGGGTCCGGCCATGCCGCCACAAGACCTGAAGGCCCCAAAGACGGGCGAGGCCTCGCTCACGCTCCCGCTCCCGCTCACGGGTGGCCGGCGTGGTGGCCCTGGCTCGGGCGGTCTGATGTGGCGGCGCAACGGCACGGGAGGCCCTCATCGTGCGCGGGCCTCAGTCGTCGGCGTCTCCCTAAAGGAGAAACCGCAGGGGATAAGAACTGGGCCTGGTTGGGGATGTCCCCTGGAAGTGAGTAGCTATTGAATACTATTCCCCTTGTTTTCTTGGTCGATGTATATGTGAAGCGAAAATCTTGATTTGCCACTGTTTGACTAGACAGTGAGTTGAACACAAGATCTTCATCGCACCGAGTTGCCGTCGCCTCGGCTGGCGCGCTGCCGCCGCTGGCCGCCGTCGCCAGAAAGTGCCGAGCTCTCCGCTTGAGGATGAGAACCTTAACCTGGCCATGGTCCCATGGGCGCCCGCCAAGGTCCATGCCCATGCCGCCTCCAGCTCCATAGGGGCCACCGCGGAAATGATGGACGTTGTTCAGGATGGCGACAGCACATCCATGGAGGTCGAGCATGGCGTGAGAGCTGAGACCACGCCAAATTGCCTGCAGGCGCTGCAAGGAGGCGTTCCACCACCACCAAAGAACAAAGACACCGGTGGCGGGCGCGGCATTACGTTATGTCGCCGCACTGCAGCCTCCTCTGTCTGCTCCGACCCGCCGAGGCTTGCCACCGTGCTATCCGCGTCGGCTGGCCGCACCTACTCAACGCCGTCCTCCACTGTTGTGGCGCCGCCCCACAGCCTTGCCTCCTACCTGTAAGGCAAGGCGGAGTGGGCTGGATCCGAGGGTCAATCTTTGAGGAGCCGCAAGCTCGAGAAGGTTTGGACCCTTTCACTTTTCTCTCTCTCCGACAGAATGTTCTTTTCTCTCCTCTTGGTTCTCGATCAGGTGGAGTATTGATTTGTTTTTTCATCTAATTTGGGGTCCTCTCAGATCCTCGATGTTTGGCTGTAAAGGCCGATGGACCTTCTATTTGTGGCAGCGGATCTATGAGCCTTGTTTTGTGTTTTTTTTCCTCTGTTGGTCAATTCGTGTCCTCGTTGTTGGGCTATGTGTTTTTGTTTTCACTGGGTATGCTTGTGCCAGGCGTTTTTATTTCGCCTCTTCCATCCGTGGTGAACCGACTGACGGAGTGGCGTCGCCGCGCCATCGACGTCCTATGCTGCAGGTACTGGGGGGTGTTCGGTTCGAGCACAAGGGTAGATGGGAGATCTTGGGACATGGATAATTTGTTTGATGGATGGAGCGAGTTATTTTTTCTGTTTGGTTGGATGGATGAGATTGGATGTGATGAGAATACTTGACTAATTATATCTATGATTAAAAATAATAC